CAATAGCGATAGATGCGCACGTCCCAATTCTCATTGACATAGTAGATGTAGAAATCGAACAAATATGAATCACTAAATCAGATGAAGAAAAATGGTACATCAGAATCCTAAATTGATCATGTCATACAAGGCACCCCAAAGAAATAACATAATAAAGAGAATTGAACGAATGATAAATAACCACCACATCAAAGATATAATCATAATAACTCGATGAGAATTCAGGATTCATGACATTTTGCACCTATTGCGACTTCAGTAGCTGGTGTTTTAAGTATACTCCATGCCAAGAGAGAATAGTCCCCACTTGTAATTAGAGACGACCCCTATGAAGAAATCCTTCATGCTGCTAAATTTCTGTATAGCAAAGATCCATATCAATAGCTGTTTAAATTAATACTTAGCCAATGAAGGATACTTGGAAGCAATCAAAGTATCGTATGCATCCTGTATACCAGTATAGCATACAGGAAGACGTAAACAAGGAGGTTTTGAGTTTCCTTTTTCTCGCATTGATTAAAAATCTAAACCATAGATCGAATGAGAGTTTGAAAGGTCATACTTGTCATTTAGCCGAAACTGTAAATTATCAGAAGGTGGTTTGAGACCACGCGACAGAGAGTTAACGATTGACATATAAATAAGATCAATCAAGATGTCATTAGTATAAAGAAGCAAAGAACTATACAAAATAAAGAAAAAAGACAAATCAATCAATAAAAATAATTAATACACGTAGTAGTAATCTATCAAGTTGCAAAACAATTACATTGTCTTACTAGATAAAGTGAAGAATATCATTCAAATCACTTGGTAATGAGAAAACGGAAACATTGAATTCCGTTGTAAGTCAATCAATCACTGGACCACTAATCCTTAGATAGAGATTTCTCCATCCAAAGTGAAATGAAAATTGATAAGAGGATAGTTGATACTACTTGTCAGAAGATTTTCTGATTGCGCTTGGAAACATGTTGCGAGTTATTGCAAAGTGGTTGTTACGATGTTCAAATCGATTTCGTTTTCTTTCGTCATTTTCGACGAGGGATAAATGGGCTTTGTCACGAACTGTTTTCGAAGTTGCGGAACGCATGCTTTCCCTGAGCCATCTTCATGGTGAAGGAAATAGGTTGAGGGTAGCTCAAATGCTATTGTGTTGTGTAACAAAATGCACTATTCACTAAAAGCTAAGGTAAATTTCTTTCGAGTGTTTTGAGGGGGGGGGTGTTGTAGAGAATGAAAGTTTATGAGAGAGATTAGAAACTTAATGAAAACTAATCAACGAGATGAGATCATCAATCAAGGGATCGTAGCATCTGGCCTCCCGGTGAGGACTATAAAGTGTGATTAGAGTTAGGCTTTGCTGTACTAATCCTACGTCTCTCCACGATCCGCAAAACGGAACGCGTGAAGGTTTGTCTAGCATGGATCTAGTAGCGTGGAAGTACTCCACGCTGGCTAAATATCTAGAGCGATGTTTCATCATCAACCTAGTATGACTAGTGCGGTCATTGAGAACCCTTTCTCAAATGACTATTCACGAGAGACTCAGTCATGAGTCAAACTCAAACCCTATCTAGGATCGAGTCGCGAATAAGGCTAAGAGCCGTGTATTGCACTCCTGGAATTGAGCTGTGGTCAAGGGTGCTGTAGTCATGGTTGGAGGATCAGATGGTGGGATGACTGGATCAGATTCAAAGAAGCAAGGCTTGTCTGAATCCCTGTGGACTGAACAAGGATGGCGCTGGTACTGTTGAAGGAGTTGATGATGAAGAGGATGCTGAAGATAAGGAAGCGTCGTCAAGGTCCATTAATAGCTGATGGAATAGGAGGCAGTGAAAATCAACAAGGTCAACAGTGCGGCAATGGCAACAAGAGCAATGGCAACAGGAGGAGGAGAGCGGTGGATATCCAGCCAATCGAGTCAATCGAAGATGGAATTTATGAGCAGTTGGATCTGACGTCGAGGTTGAGGCCCACCTCGAATTGTTTGGCAAATTCAAATTTAAATTTAACAGCGACAGCGCGTTGTTATCTTTCAAACGACCAACTGCAAGCCAGGTCAAACGACCGACTGCAACAGCAAGCCAGCAACCGGAGGAACGGCCAATAATAGGGGGTAAAGTGGCTCCGGAAGCATGACTCAATGCATGACACACAACCCGAGTCGTCAAGATAATAGGATCCTCATCGCGATTTCGATCGACAACAGGATAAAGAACAAGGGGAACAAGTGGATTGCAAAAAGGGGATTGCTTGCGAGCGAATCCAAGGTATCGACAAAGGGATCATATGGATCCAATCGACAGATTAAGTTGCAATAAGGGGAAGGACTACCGATGAAGATAATGAGAGGAAACTCAGGACTCTGCACCAAGGGATAGCTCATTCCATTGACAACCATAAGGGATAGACATATAAGAATAAGAATGAGTAACATCTCATAACCTCGCATGCTACCATGCGACAATACCATTGTGGATTGATTAATCTAACGATCTAAGAGATGTAAAGTTTGTATTTCCAAATAAGTGAGCAGTTATTGATTATTTTCTAGAATAGGCCCGCAATTTATAAAGCTGTAAAGCTGAATTGTAAGCTGTATCCCGTCGCATAGAGTGACTTCTCCAGACCCTGTTGAGAATCCCCTATCGCCTTGGCTTTGAAACCCTCTTTTCATGTAGGTTGTGGTACCTGCACTAGATTGGGACACAGCCTTTGATCCAGTGGCAACACCCACCCAACAACTTTGATATACAACTTGATTATCACTACCCCCGTGCATTGGCTGACCCCTTGAATAAACCCTTTACCACAAACTCTCGCCACCTCACAAGCAACCTTCATTCTTGCTTGAGTTGAAGCCACGACACTATAGTCAACACTCAAGGATACACACCTCTTCCACCAACCCACCTACTACCCACCATGACTTGCCCATGTCTACATACACCTTCACTCAAACCTAAGGTCCTTACAGACATCCCCCCACTCCCACACTTCACCCAACCAACCACATCCATCATCCTCCGCAGATTGCCCAACACCAATCCCCAGATGATTAGTCAACAGCTCCTAGAGCATGCAGCCATCTTGAGGATCACGCCCTTCCAAATCACCCCCTACTCCATCAGAGCGGATGCCTTTGTTCTCACCCTTGAACAGAGACATGCCTCTATCCTACGACACACCATCCACCATGCTACCTCCCAACTCCTTCAACAACACTCCACCCCCACCAGGACCTCCCCTCCTGCTCCTGCTGCCAGTCCACTTCCCCTTATCCTCCTTCCATTGACTCAACAACCCCTCGAACAGCCCATAACACTCCAGCAGCCACTGTGTCTCCCTCCTCGGAACCACAGACTGACAGTGTGTCACCTGACCTCATTTTTTGCCTGCTTGTTGGTCTCTATCTAACAATTTTTGTGCATTGGATGGGTTATACCCTGCTCTGGTCCAGCCTGAGGAGTACCACCTCCTATGGGCTCTGCTGGCATCTTGCCTTGCATGACAAGGCAATGGCCACAGCCTGGGATCTGATCACCCAGACACACTTACTGGCGAGCACTCTTTGGCTTGGCAATCTCTCTGGTGCAATACACGGCTCTTAGCCTTATTCGCGACTCGATCCTAGATAGGGTTTGAGTTCGACTCATGACTGAGTCTCTCGTGAATAGTCATTTGAGACAGGGTTCTCAATGACCACGCTAGTCATACTAGGTTGATGATGAAACATCGCTCTAGATATTTAGCCAGCGTGGAGTACTTCCACGCTACTAGATCCAGCCTAGACAAACCTTCCACGCGTTCCGTTTTAGGATCGTGGAGAGACGTAGGATTACTACCGCAACCTACTCTATCACACTTTATAGTCTCCCGCGGGAAGCCAGATCTACGATCCCTTGATGATGATCTCTCTCGTTGATTAGTTTTCATAGCTTTCTAATCTCTCTTATAACTTTCATTCTCTCAAACTCAAAACACTCGAAAGATCTTTACACTAGCTTTTAGCGTAGTGCACTGGTCCTCACGGCCCCTTTGGTGATAATGTTTCGATACCGACAAAATCCTGTGTAAGCCCCTGTAACCCAGGTTTTGCGGTGCAGGTTCTCTATCAATGTGCTCAACCCCCTACCCAGGGCATCTGTCTACTTGGTGCTGGCTCCACATGGGCCAGTGGATGAGGTCATGTTGATTGGGAAAACAAAGTAGATGACGACTCAGCTAGGTGGGGGATTCCCCATCAATTGCGTCGCGTCATTAAAGTCACTCTGTGGCCAATAGCTTGTTAAGCTAAATGAGTAATTTAAACCTACTCAGTAACTAGACGGGCGCTGGGTATGTTCAATACATTGCTTGCTGGATAGGTATATGTTTTAAGGAAGCCGATGCCACATAAAAGAATTTCGAGGTGCCTCACATTTGATCGACGACGGGCAGACCCTCACCCCCTTACGTCGTGACTAGACTTATATGTACTGGCAGCATGCAAACTGGTCTTGTGGTCCACTGCGGGGGGTGTATGCTCACACCTCAGCAAATGAATTGTCGTGTAGCAGATCTGGCTCATGCTGCAGCCACAAACTATGGGCTACTACTCACCAAGATCGAGTCTCCGTCAACATTGGCACGAGTGCTCCGGCCCTGGGGGGTTGAAATTGATAGTCACGTGCGCCCTCAGTTGCTTAACATTGCTTAATATTGCTTAGTGTGCGCTCAAGAACATACGCGACCGTACATGACAGCACCCAAGCAGGCCGTTTGCAATTTGATTGGAGCTTGAGTAGGGCTTTTGTAGCACCATTCCACCACACTTCCTCTTCTAGTTCTGTTGTTCATTCTTCACCGGTGTCGTGGCTGCTGAAGTAGCAGAGCGGTCTTTCAAGTCTAGAGCCGCGCAAATGAAGTTGCATTTGTGTGTACGGAAGAAGTCTTTGAAACCATTCATGCCTCGGTCGGCTCTTCCATATTCCTTGCCTTGGGAGTGCAATTGAGGGTCCGTGTAGGTGTACCCGGAACCTTGGATGTCTACGACCATCTCAGATTCATCACTCTCCTCGTATGAAAAGTGGCTAGAGATACCCAAAGGAGACAAGAATTCGAAGTCAGAAGAGGCAATGCTCCATACCGGTAGAAGACAACATTGGACAATGACAAAAACTCACCTGAAAGCCTGGGCAACTTGGCATTGAAGCGTTGGTGAAGGACTGACGAAACCATTGTTGCTGGGAGATGGAGGAAAATCGATCTGTGAGCGCCATGCTTTTGTCATGATGGCGCGGTGGTTGGTGTGACACTTACCTGTTGTACTTTTGGTATTCGCCTCGCAACTCGGTTTCTACTGCCAAGTATCTGTATCCGCCGGGAGATGTCTCATCTTTCAATCGAATCACTTCGGCCTCCAAGACTTGTATAGTGGGGACGCCAGCGCTTTGCAACTGATTGTTGCGTCTCAATTTTTTGTTGAACTTTGTTGCATAATCCAAGGCTCGAGCTTGGCATTTGGAGGTTTCAATGTGAAACCGCAGCCGTTCTTTGTACCCAACGTCGTGACGTGATTCCTTGGCCACCTGCGGTGGTTCTCCAGGCTGCCGCATTTTGTACACATTTCTCAATCCACCTTGCGCAAAAGGGTGCAGTGATACCTGGACCATTCTCCCATTCGCCGTATCCTTCTTATTGAATTTATCTTGATTTTTGGTCAAAACCATGCGAGTTGCCAAGTAACTGCTCATGGGCGAGTTCTTCTTCAACACAACTCCCTGTCGTTCCTGGAGCCTACTACCTCCACGCATGGCCGTAACGGAAGAGGAAATGGACTCGAAAGTAGAGCGTATGGATGATCCTTCGGCCGTGGTAGTGTTGGTCAAAGAGAACACTAATCCAGCAGACTTGGCACGATCGATGCGTTCCCGGATCAGTGTATTCTGGGACTTGACCTTCATTTCCACGATCTCGTCTTCTTCGTAACTACTATCATCGTCGTCGCTGATGTCACCATTGTTCCTGGTGGGAGTCCTGGCCGTGTGATCCTCCATGCTGAGGTCTGGTTCGTGCAAGGTTCCACCGTATCGGTTTGCTAGATACTTTAGCCACTATGGTACAACCGTAAGGGAGGGAATACAAAGCATTGTTACAAGGTTAGAATTTTGAAGGTAGCCATACCGTAGCAAAGAAGCAAGACCAGATACGAAACTGACCTTCTTTCCTTCCTTGAAGAGGCAAATCAAATGAAGTGAAAACTGACTGCAGTACTTTTGTTGCATTTCTTCAATGTGTGCCCCGGCCGAAGGGTACTTTATCTTGTTTCGACGAATCGTGGTCGGCATCGGTTGATCACTTTTAGGTGGATCCGAGTTCATATCTCCTGGTCTTCCGTCGCTCAGAAACACGAGCATGACGTTTTGGTTCTTGTCTTGGCTGGCGCCGGCAAACGCAATCTCTTTGGCTCGCCCAAATCCGGCTGCAAATCCTGTTCCACCATTTGGGGTATGCATCTTGCGTGCGGTTTCGAGTGCCTTGAGTACCTTTTGACCATCTCCCACTAGTGGCATGCGATCCAAGAGCGTTTGAGCCTCATCATTGAATGTAACCACCGATACCATTGCTTCCCCAGCAGAATTGGACGAAGAAATCTGTTCTGCAAGGAAGCCTTCCAGGCATAAAAAGACAGCATCCCACCTTGAGATTTTGCTTCCATTTCCCTTTTTGACATCTTTCTTTTTCATGGATCCCGAAAAGTCAATGGAGAAGATGATGTGCGTTGCATTGGGTGATCCATTTTCCTTTTTCGAAGCGTCTTCATCACTTTCTAAGCAAAGATCAATCACGGCTGATGGCTTTTCGTCCTCGTCTTCTGCGTCACTAAACTGACCAGGGTTTGTGCCCTGTATGCCATTATTTCGGGTTTGTGGGGTTTGCGTACTTTCTTGCTTTTCTACGGAAGGATGTGTCTCTTGCTGGACGCCAGGTGGGAAAAGAGCTCTTGCTGGTTGAGGAGGCCGAGCCGCTGTTGGATTTTGCTGTGAGCGAAGGGTGCTAGTCGGTTCTCGCTTGATAGGAGGCGTCATTGCATTAGTTTGTTTTGTATGGGCTAGAGCGCTGCTGCTGATGATTATGGTGGTTGCTCGTGACGGCGTTGAAGAGGGATTGGACTTTTGGTTGGGGATCATTGCTTCACTATTACTAGTAGCAGTTGTTGTTGTCCGAAAAGCACCACACATGACACACTTCTCGGACGGAAATCGATGCGTAAAAGAGCATTTGGAGCACGACCAAGCATTCTTGGGGAACGCTCTCACGGGTGGTCCCCAACGGCAAGGACGCTTGTTCTGCGGATTGTGGCCGCTGCCACTGCTCTGGCCTTGCGCGTTGCTTCCAGAAGACGTCCGTTTGTTTCCATTGTTATCATCACTACCTGCATTGTGGACAGGAAAGGCCGACGACCGCGGGGGAGGAGGCATCACCGCGCTGTTGGAGGACGGATGCGAGTTGTGGTTGTTCCAATTGCCATTGGAAGGACGAGCTGGAGGAGGAGGTGGCATCATCATCCAATTACTGCCTTGCGGGAAGCTGTTGTTGCTCATCTTGATTCGATTCTAGCTAGATGGCCAGAAGTAGATACTATAGCCGTCTCTGTCAAAAGAACTACTACCAGGTACAGTGCCTACTTCTATCTAGCTAGAGGTCTAGTTCTACTAGGTCTAGATAGAAGTGTACCAGAGGTGCCACACCGAGAATGAAAATGAAGGGGGCGCTTCTCCGTATTGTGGCATGAAGTACCGGTACGCACCGTGGCTCTTATGAAGTACGCAACGGACGAAATTTTCATTTGGAAACAAATCTGACTTTCTCCTAAAAATAAGTTTGATCCAATTGACCAAAATGTTAGAAAAAGGTATCAGTGAAAACCTGAACCCTACCAAAGACTACGGTAGGAAACCAAGACGGGAGATTTTGGGGGGGATTAGAGTAGGGAAATTATCTACGGAAGCCAGCCGGGGACAAGTGAAAGCCACGCGAACACTGACCGCACTGTACTACCGGTAGTATGGTACCTGATAGGCACTTTCTTTTCTCAACAGCCACTGTTTGGAAATGTGGTCCCGACGACGAGCCAAAGGAGAGGAAGCACCACCCTTGGAACCGGAAATGGAGTCTGCTGTGGAACCGCCCTCCTCGGCGAGTGGCCTGTCCCAAATCTACCTGGGGTTGGTGGTCTTTTTGGTGGGCGTGGTGGCCGCTTCGTTGTTTTCCCGCGACAGCAGCATAAGTTTGTCGACAGGGACTACTACTAGTAAGACATCCTCCACTCGCACTAAGAAACGTGGCAAATTGGGAGATGGTTGTTTCCACATTTTCTTGGACGTCGGTGGTGACTTGGGATTGCATGCCCGGTTTGTGTTGGAACCCCAATGGTATTCCGATGCCGTGGAGACACACAAGGTAATCGATGGTGCCTTTGGTCCTCCTTCCAAACGCGACAATCGAGACATTTGTGTATTTGCCTTTCCCAATGCCATGGCCCCGGAAGACCAAGCCGTCGATGAAGACATGGTAGAGTTGCATCAGAAGAGGCGCAATCGACGACAACAGTTGCAAGCGGCATATGCCAAATTGGGATGGAAATTTCTTTCCATAGAACCTGACACAAATACAATAACAGCAGCAACCAACACTACCAAGAAGACCAACAAAAAACATTCCGACGCCCCCGGTGTCCAAGTGGCCAAATGGATGCAAACACACCTTCTGAATCGACAACTTCCCACAACGATTCACGGCGACTATCATGGCACTGGCGACACGGGCAATATCGTTGTCAAGTTCGATGTGCCTCATTTAGAACTCTTGGTGGCTCCGGGAACGGCCCTTCGCGAAGCCACTTGTCTCACCATGGATCGATTCTACGGGGAATGGAAAACCTCACGAGAGGCAGTGGCCAAAGGGCACAATCCCGTCACTGGGTTGGGAGCCCTCGCGTCCAAATACGACACTCCCGTAGATGCCCAAACGGCCTTTGGGACGTTGTGGAATCTCAAACAACAACAGCTACCAAGTTGCAAATCGCAGTGGTTGGGAATGTTCAAAGAAGAACAACAACTCGTCGAAGAGGATGTGCCATTGCCCATGATGGTGGGTGGATGAGTGACTGAAGTGAAAAGAGATGAGCAAATGGAAAATAAAGAGACGAATGAATTCCATCATTCCATCATCGAGGAATCGACGGATCAATTATCAACTTGCGGACTCCCGATACAGTTACAGTGCACTGTGGAGCACGAGCTAGAGCCACAGAACGGCCAGCCCTCGCATCGATTTCGACAGCCCAATTGCGCATGTTAGCATGAACCACATCCAACAACACTGCACGACTGCTCTTCCAAGCAAACTCGCAGACGGCAATAGCTATAGTTAGTTGCCCAAAAACTCATTCCGGAAGGTGAGATAAAGAGAACTTGCGCTCCACGGGTACCGTAATTCGGTGCATTGATCGAGTTTTTTCTTGTGGGTGCGGAACCTTTGCGGTTATTGATACCGGTACTACTGTACGGTAGAGATCATTTCCCGTTTCGGCATCGAAACGCAGCGCGGTTACTCGTCTTAGTGTTTCTAGCTAGCTAGCTAGGTGATAACTGATTGAATTGCCCTTCCTACTACATGTACATGTACATTGCAGGACACCACAAATGCGAGGAGGACTAGGCTCGACGAGACGAAGCAGAGTTCAAAGATCGCCCACTCATGTTTTGCCAGAACAGAGCAATTGGTGGAAACAGCCAATCAAACGACCACATGCAAATGGAAATCTAGAATGTAATGTACGGTACAATCGATGATCTGGACCGAACGAGAGCTAGCTAGTTGGTCCATTTCGGTGGAAACGAACAAGACAATGGTAGCGTGCACTCTAGCATACAACCCCAATAGCATTGCCGGGATGGCATCACGTTCTACTCTACCACACGGTCATGATCTGATCGTTGTTATAGTTAGGTACATTGTTTTTTGCTTTCTTTTGAGTTTGATCCATATCTGATCCATACCATTCTTCTCCTCTTCCAATCCTTCCTCCATTCTTTTTGTTTTTGTGTTTTGTTTGATCTAATCTTGACGTCCCTTGAGTTCCTTGGTGGTGACACCATCTTTGGTAATGATATGGACGACTCCTCCCCAACCAGAAATGGCATCTCTATCGACGGCACTGAGGAGTGATTGTGCCAGTGTCTCAAAGAGCGTATCGGGATCCATATCGGGTTTGTAGAGCGATTCGCACATGCCGTGCAAATTGCCCGTACAAGTTCCCGACACGACAAAGTCTTCGGCCGTCATGGTGGCTCCAATCAAGTCCATTCCCGACAAGAACGGTTTCCCTTTGGCGTCCAATCCAGCCACAATGGGTTCGATAAAGTAGGGACCAAAGCGTTTTTCGTACAAGAGTTGCGACAACAAATGCGAAAAGACCTGCGGTGTCATTTCTCGTTCTTCCTTCAATTTGTACAAGCCTAATCGGAATTGCAATTCTTGATGCAGTGTTTGCACGTCCGTCGCCAATCCGGCCAAACCCACAAACAACTTGTCGTTCAATTGAAAGACCTTTTGGAAATCCGTCGCCAGAGTCGTCAATTGAACACCCAAACGACGATCCGCGGCAATTCCGACACAGTCTTTGCCAGCCATGGCCACCATGGCGCCTCCATTATAAGACAAAATTGACATTGTTCTATTCAAACACTACTGATGATGATCAACAAACGAGGAGTGGATGATGATGGGGTGGAGACAATGAGGACATCGAGAAGCAACAGCCAGGATCATCGTCTTGTCGTCTTCTTGCGCTCCGAAGCAGAAGGATGCCAACCGAAAGATCCAGATGGACGAAGGACGGACTTTATTCTTCACCTTAAAATACGAATTAAGGACAAAGCTAAAGTGAAGGTTAGGCGGACCGCGAGAAACATGTTAGAAAAGAAAGTTCAACATGCCGGCTCGCATTTGCGACCACACTCACTTTTTCCCCAACCATCACAGGTTGTCTGGGTTCTATTGTTGCCACAGCTGCCACTCTTCTTTGCTGCGATTGCGAGCCATGCTAATAACTAGCTAGACTATGGGCACATAAAATACCAATGCTGAAATTGACAAGTTTGGCTGTCTGATTTCATTTTTTGCTTGCATTGAGTCCGTCGCGGCGATAGGTAAGCAGCACCCTGACGAGTCGAGGCATACGGAGTAGAATCGATTCCATGGTGGATGTTTCTTCTTTCATCATCAACTCGCTGGATGCAGCAGTCACTGGCACAACTCATTAAAATGCAGTACTGTACGCATGTCGTTTTTTTATAAATGAGATACAAGCTAGCTAGAAATTGTCTCTGGTGGGTACTATTGTATTTTAGTTGTGGTGCCTTCCTTACCTACACTCCGCTGTTGCCCATAATACATAAATAAGGAAACTCGTTTAGTTCTTGGAGTGCGAGTCGTACACCTTTCCGGTAATTTTCCACTCTCCAGAGACCTTGTACAAGACAAAAAAGTCAGTGAATCGAAAGCCAGCCCAATTGAGAAACTCGACTCGGGCTGCAGCGGCGGGGCCCGAAATGTCAATCGAGGCAATCCGACTTTGAATGTCGGGCTGCGGGCCCAAGGAATCGACTGTTCCGATAATGCATCCTTACTGGCAACCTCGTATTCACTCATTAGTGACTGACCCAATGACTGACCTTGGTGTCTTTGTGAAAAGCTGCCACAGCTTGCTTGCCATTTCCTGCCTTGGCTCCATCCATGTAGGTGCGTTTGAAGAGCGACTTCCACGGCTTGACGCTCATCGAAACTGGCTTTCTCATCTTCCGATGTAATCATCTTGGGAGTCATGGCTGGTGATATTGTCTTTCTTTGTTTGGAGTTGTGTTGCTTGGTGTTTGTCTGGTATCTCTGTTTCTCCAAAATATATTTGTGAGACTTCTGAGATCACCAGCTGAGCGAATCTAAATCAGTCTTCCCTGCTAGAGCCTGAGTTTCAAGGGCAAATCCATCTCCAAGAACCTTTCGGGTGAAGCTCTTTGTCTTTCCAAGAGCATACGACAAGTTCTAACTTCGATTTATGTGGCTAGCGTTTGACGTTCTTCGACGATCGTCCAAGATGCCATAGTTTTTTGGCCTGTGCAGTGTTGTTGGCTTTGGATGAGCGTTCTGTACCGGTAGAGGAACGGTCTTCCACCAACAAGTGCGAACCTGGAACGAGAGCGAGCGAGACCTAGCTAGCTAGATGGAAATCATGGCAAGGTGAGTGTTCTTGACGTGGCTGATGAAGACATTGATGTAGATTCGAATGATTCGGTGTAGCTTGTTGATTCAAACTGTTGCAAGCAGATACATACTACCGTAGCTAGTACATGTACTGGTAGGTACTACCGGTACGAACGGTACAGCCAGCAGCTCAGTCCGAAAGTTATGAAAATATTAGTAAGGACAAAGCTAAAAGGAAGGTTAGGAATAAAATGCATGGATCGCGAAAAACACGTCAGAAAGAAAGTTCAACATGCCGTTTTTGCCACCAGGCCTCACTTTTTTGAATGGTTGCAGTTCTGTTAGTTTAGCACCCAGCCATCAAAAGTTGTCTTGTTTTTCATTGCATTCTCCCCAACAAATTTCTTTGCTTATCATTACTCAAAATTGTTCATCACCATGTCCCCTATCCCAATTCTGATTGTCGTGGGCGTCGCCGTACTGGGTATTTTTTCTCATCAAGTCATCAAGGAACAACAGGGTGTTCCTCCTCCTCTTGATTTTGGAGATGCTTCGGCCGAAAAGGGATATTCCATGTTTGATTTCATTGCCCATCGATACGATGCCATTAATCGGATACTCGCCTTTCGCATGGATGTTGGATGGCGCAAACAAATGGTACAACTCATCCTCGCCGAAGTACAAGATGTCGCAGATCCCAAAATACTCGATGTCGCCACGGGAACCGCCGATGTGGCACTCATGACGGCCAGCATGATTCCTTCGGCTACCATTGTCGGTGTCGATCCGTCCAATGGCATGTTGGATGTCGGCAGACGCAAAATTCAAAACCAACACCGACAAGATCAAATTCAACTCCAATGGGCCGATGCCCGTGATTTGACGTCCACCCTAGAACAAAGTTCCTTTCATGCCGCCACCATGGCCTTTGGCATTCGCAACGTGCCCGAACGCAATGTGGCTCTGTGCGAAATTTACAATGTCCTGACGCCGGAGGCACTCTTGACCATTCTCGAATTCTCCGAACCTTCCACCACCGAAGGAGCCATTCTCGAACGGGCCGCCGGTGTCTTTATTCAACACGTCGTGCCCTTTGTCGGGGGTATTCTCAGTGGACAACCCCGCATGTACAAACATTTGCAAAATTCCATCAAAAACTTTCCATCGCCCGTTGAATTTGAAGCCTACGTCAATTCACTCGTTTGTACATCGTCGACGCAACCTTCCTTTTATGTCGAACAAGTACAACATTTAAATTTTGGATCGGTACAGCTCTATTCCATTCGATCCCTCAAGCCACTGGTAGAACCCGTCCCGGAACAAGTGCATCAACAAGAAATCCCAGTGCCTGGGGAACCCGTGGACGAGGAGGAAGCGGTTGTAGAACCAACGGTCGAGGCAGAAACTGTAGCGGCCTAATCAATCAATAAATGAATGAATGCGACAACAAGTATGTAGCCAAGCCATGCTGCCAACACTAAAGTTGTAGAAAAGTAGAGCAACGACAATTTGGCGGAGTGTTACGGTGTTTGTGCATCCGACAAAGGTTGTGGTGACTTGATTAAAGCGTTCGACCAGCTGTTGTCCTAGCTAGGCTAGCTAGGTTTTGGGAGCTAAGACAGGTGTCGTGAGAGAGGATTGGCTAAAGGCAACGATACGGCAGAGGGAGAGGTTAACTGTCTAGCTAGCTAGCTAGTTTGGTTTTACTATTACTTTAGTTATGGTGTTAATTATTGCTGCTGTTTCCGAGCAACTAAAGAATGTGGAGTCTTCCCGTGACCACATTTGACTGTCCGTGCTCATTATTATTCTCCTTCTTGCACAATTGCCTATTCTTTCTTCAGGTTAGCGGGGGCGACATTGGTCTTGTTGCTGGAAGTAGCATTGTCATTGTCATCCGATGGATTCATGGGTTCCTTGGCCGCGTGATTGGCCCAACCGGTAAAGATGCTCAACAAGGCTCCCTTGTCACCCGATGGGGCTTCACTGATCTTGTCACAAATCTGCTTGTGCAACGACTCCAAATGATTGGCAAACGACGTGACATCGTGGGTCGGAACAGACGGTGGGGTCGGAGAAAACAATTCGTAGCTGGGTTTGCGCGTCATGGGAAGGGGCAAGAGAGGATCGTTCCAATAGATGGTATCCAGAGCCTGGGTGGAATGATGCATCAGAGGAAAGTTGTTCTGTCGTTCCTGCTGATGATGATCGGAAAACATGCCGGGATGGTAAGGATGAGTGCCCGGACCGCCAAATCCAAAGGATCCCACTTGACGTAGCTCGGTCGACCCCACAGGATGGAACATGCGCGAGTTGAGAGTGATATCGAAATCACTGTCATTAAAGGCAATCAGGTTGTGACTTTCAATGGGAGGCATGGGAGTATCGTCCGTACCATCGTCCATGGTCGCGTCGGCAATGGTTCGGACATGACTTGGAGGGCTGAACTGAGAGCTTGCGGGAGGGAGCGTATGCAAGGACCCAGGAGAGTTGCAGAACGAGTTGCTGCCAGAAGATGTCGTAATTGCGGGAGACGACAAATGATGGGCATTATTGGCAGCATTGATCCTTCGGTGAACACAAGCTCTCTTGGACTTGGGGGTTGTCGTCGTCGTGGCCGTCAAGTTCGCCTTGTTTCGATTGCGCTTGGCGCGGGTGTTGGCTGGAGGGGAATAGGAATCGTCTGACACTGCGCCACCGTGCAGATTCGCAGCCTTGACGCCTCGGTTAACAGCTCGTTTGGCCGAGTAATAGACATGCAAGAGGCGATATTCGGCATCTTCCTTGCCGTCGGCTCCATGCTGTGATTGAGAGAAGAGAACGGTATTAGTAAGGTATCAGAACGTCAGGAGCTGTCGCTCCAAAAAAATGCGAATCCACCAGCTGGAAGAGTGCACTTACCATGGTCCACAAGGCACCGCCCTTTCGACTGGCGTATTCTGGTCGACCTTTGGGGTAGCAGTATCGCTGCTGGATGGCTGTAGGCTTGGGAAACTGCGGTCCACTGAGGCTCCAAGGACATACTTCGGCTTGCGGCTCTCTCACCGCTAGGTGCATCAAGTGTGGCGGGACCAACGAGAAATCAGGATGAAGACTCTTCTTTCGCTGAGGCTTGAGGAGTACGTAGAGGCCATCTGAGGATAACAAAACAAACAACGGTACAGTGAGGAATTCATCGTTGTTGTCGTCGAAGAATAACACGTTCACGCTATCGATCGTTGCTTGCTTGCTTACCTTCGAACTCAAAGGACGGTGGCGAAAGCTTCAATCCCGTGGGCCCCACGGGCACGATCTTGAATTGGAGATGTGGAGGTGGAGGCTTGTTGTGATGAAGGCACTCGAAAATAGCGCGAACATCGGAATCGGAGAGTCTTCGAATGGTCGCCATGTGATTGTCTCGCTGCTGCTTTCGTCGAAAAGGTAGTACTATCGGTGGGCGAGACGATGAATGCATTTTATGACAACGATCGTGGAGTTGTTGCGACGATTCTTCGCTGCTACTGCAAGTGACTAGGTTTGACATCATAGGGCTATCGTATCGAGTTGATCTAGGACCGTGTGGTTCAGCGGAGGATAATGCAAACAGACCCTGTATCACGCTCATTTTGATATCTGAGTGTCCAATTTCGCCATGTGTGTACCTGGTACGACAGCGCATTGCTTTTTGATATCAAAGATCGAAATTGCTTTTGGCTCGTGGAGTGAGGGTATCCTTTTAAAAATGAAAACGAATTCAAAATAATCCTTTAAGTACCGGTACCCCACGCCAGCGGTACGAGTACATGTACAAGGTCCAAGTCGCAAACGAAGTCAAGCCCTTGATGAATCGAATCCCTTGCTCTGATATGCACAACTTCAGCTCGTTTGAAACAGATTGTTTCATCGGGAATACAGCGTACAGCCCCAGCTGGTTAATTGGTCAGCCAGCCAGCTAGTTAGTTAGTTAGTAGCTAGTAGTTTTGGTCGCAATTGCAGCTGTTGCATCTGACGACTAACTATTGCAGATCACCTACTAGCATCCTCCCAATCCAGCCACTGGGTGGGTTGATGCTGCTATTGAAAACTCGTGAGCAAGTAAAAGTATTCCTCATCAGGCCAACACCTTATTTGATGTGTTTGAAAGGAATTCACTATCTTGAAACTCTACGGTAGAGCTGGCACTTTCTACCAGACTTCTCATGGACAAGGACCACAATCACATCCACACAGACCAGTTCCATGGCATTCTGATGTGTTGGTTTTAACAGGTAGAAGTTGACAGGGTGCAACTTGATGGCATTGCCATTGCTTTTGGTACAACTTCTCGCACAGCTCTTCAGGGATGCTGCCCGATAAAGATGTATTTTTGATTGCCAAGCTCGTCATGTTTTCCAGGGCAACTAGCTCGGTGGGTATTGTGCCAGAGAGGCTGGTATTCTGCAATTCAAGTTTCACAAGACTAGACAGCAGGCCAACCTCAGTTGGAACTGTACCTGAAAAGTGGTTGCCATTCATGTTTAGGTACTCTAACCTTGCCAAGTTGGTGAAAAGATCAAGTGGCAGTGTCCCCTCCAACTGGTTGGAGCCAACCAGTAAACTGTACAGATCTGCTATGGGAAAGGAATGTTGGGTAGACATGGATGTCATTAGTACAGCAGGACACATCGCATTTGCCACATTGGCGGAGACCGAAACATGATGGAAGAAGGGCATAGCCAAAGCACATGCCCAATACTCACAGGTCAGTGCAAACAACTCATGTGGCAGCGTTCCAAAGATGGAGTTGCCGGAAACGTCTAGGGCGACCTGTTAATATGTACAACATCAGCGCAATTGCAGTAAGCCACACAAAGGGAATCAGGTATTACTTTGACCAAAACCAGCTTACCAGCTTTGTCAACTTCCCAAGCTCACTTGGGAGAGCGCCATGAATTCTCCAATCGTGAAGCCTAAGGAGTTGAAGTTCTGTGAGATTGCCAATTTCAGCTGTTGGAAAAAAGTTAAAAAATGTGAGTCATCATGATCACAAACACCTGCCAGAAAGGCGGATTCTTACATGGAATTGAAATGGCTGCTCCAAAACTTCGGCTTGACAAGGAAAAAGATACCAGCTGCTGCATATTGCAAACAACTTGTTCAAGAGCACATTCAGTGATCAAACCAGGACACTCCTCAATGGTGAGATACCTAAGACCATGCAATTGGAAAATTTCAACAGGAACTAAACCTACCGGTAGAATTGCGAAATTGTGAGCGTGAGTATCTTTCTGAGCATGGCCAAACACGCAACAAGCATGCCTACCTGCTAGATTGGTTCGGGCCACATGCAATGCCGATAGCCTGACTAACTTGCCAAGCTCTGAAGGCAATGATCCAGAGATTCGGTGTGACTCAAGAATCGTGATCTCCTCTAGATCCTGCAACAACCCGAGCTCTGTTGGGAGTGTTCCAATAATGCTTGTTACACTCAAAAGTAATCGAGTCAATTTTGTTAGCAGTCCGACCTCAGTTGGGATACTTCCTGTCAATGTCAGTTGTCGATACAACATGAAAGACTCGAGACTGTTCCCGAGCAATGAGATCTCTGGTGGAATGGTTCCCTCCAGGTTGTTGGTCCTCTCAATTGTCACTACTGTGATTTCTCCCTTCTCATTGCAGGTCATTTCTGGAGTGCTATTTGGTAAAACGTAGACTTGTTCCCAGTTGCATTCATTTGTCGCCCAATCGAGCCATCCACGATGGCTAACCCAATGGTCTCCCCTCGTAGAAAAGTAGAATGTGGCTAAGGGCAAACCTTTGTGTTAGTCTCCACCTAGGTAATTCTTGAGAGGAGTTTTGGTTGCTGATGAGCCATTGATAGGCTTTGGACTGAGGAGACTGTGCCTCGTTCCATAGCTGATAGGGTGATATCTGGAGATTAGTGATTCCAAAAAGTGTTGTTGGTGCCATTGTTGCATTGTTGTCCAATGTGGAGTGTTGGGATTCCTTGGAGGCATTTCAATGACATTTGGTTACTGGAGTTGCTGCTTGGTTGTGTCCTCCATTAGAC